ATATATATATATATATATATATATATATATATATATATATATATATATATATAAAATTAGGATTCAAGGATCAGTCTAAGTATGAAAAGTAGATTCGCCGCGTACGTTAATCGAAGAAAAATTTCGATACGTGCGTTTGACATGCTGGACATAATTATCCTCCCACTATCATATTAATATTATATAAAAAGTAATATTAGTATTTAATAGCACTAAGACATCCGTGCTGTACTCCTTATTTGCCTCTTCAGTTGTTACTGTTTAGTTATTCTAAAAAGGAGCGTTCTAAAATTTCTGTTTAAAATTTCACTAATTTTTAATGAATATTGCTGAAATCATAATGAGAGTAAGTGAATTGATAAAATTTTGCAACAAAATTTCAGCACATTTTGTTATGTTTTCAGCAATTTTCGTTATATTTTCAAAAAAATTTTTCATCAAGGGATTCATATAAGAAAAATGTCCAGAATACATTTTAGAAATGTCTTGGAGATGTTTGATATCTTTTGTATATAATTTCTTTTGATGCATTACTGATAATACGACACTGAAAAAAGCTTACAACTTTTTAAATTTCTTCCTATAATTCGATGACAGCGTATAATTAAATAAATTACAAGATACAATGTTAATGACGTTCGGGCAATGGGAATAATTGAAAAAATGATAAATTTGTATTTCAGCAATTGCGATGCAAGCGGAGAAGAAAGACGCTGATGCTGAAAAAAATGAACTTGTTAACGATGTGACTACGACATCAATCGTGAATGAAGTGACAAATTTGAAGATCGAAGATAATCATTCAGCAGGTTCAACACCGAGTAGTCCTGGCAGTACTCAGTCGGGTAGCTTTCTAACCAGCTTCAAAGCGTTCTCCAAATTCGGTGATCCAAAAAGCGATGGTAAACTGATTACATTGAGTCAAAGCGACAAATGGATGAAACAAGCGAAAGTGATCGACGGAAAGAAAATTACTACCACGGACACAGGAATTTACTTCAAAAAGCACAAGTATATACCATCTTTCGTACAATTATTATAACATTTGTAATATATAATTGAGGAATTTGTTCATCTTTATTGTTCGTCTTTATCCTAATATATCTTAGTTATCCTGTTTCTAGGTTAAAATCAATATAATTACTTTCGAAATTAATATTGTTTACTTGCTTAAATAAAAACGATTGACTGCTTTATTTTCAATGACAGATCCATGAAACTCAATCTCGAGCAGTACAAAACATTTCTTGAAGAATTAGCCAAAAGTAAAAAAGTAGAATTGGCAGAAATAAAGAAGAAAATGGCCAACTGTGGACCTCCTGGAGTTACTGGTGGCGTAAGCGGAGTAGGTATTTCTATATTTGTCTATATTTTTCTCTAATTTTAAGCCTTGTAATAGGTTTTAGGTTAAAAGGTTTTATGATGCTTTTCTAGAACCGCCTTGGAAGAAATAGTTTTCTTAAAAATCCATGATTTTTATTCAGCACCAAGTTTCTCAACAAAATAAAAAATATTTTTAACATTTAGAAAAATAGATTGTATTTTTTTTTAGGAAATTATTAAACTATATTTTTGTTCTTAATATAATTATGAAAGAAGGAGAGTTCTTAAGGGAATGCTGGAGTGGACGACAAACTCGTTATGCGTCGATAACATAGAAGCGATCGTCAAAAAGTAGAAAACGTAATCATTTACCGACGATACTAATTTCATGTATATATAGATACCAGAGTTGGGTAGTAGCTAGTTAAAAAGTTAAAAGTTAAGTTAAAAAGTTAAAAAGTTAAATGGCTTTAACTTAACTTAGTTACATTTTTACACTCTTAACTTTTAACTTAACTTACAATGGTAACACGAGGTGACTGCTCCGGGGATTTTGATGAGCTTTTTACAGGCTGTTCTTGGGCGAAAAAAAATCGACATGTGTCCGGCCGTTTCAGCCAATGGGCCATAGTTTAAAAAAAAAATCGATTTTTAAAGAATGTATCTAGTCGGTCGCGGTACACTTGATATATTCGAACGTCGCTATTGAACAGTAGTAGCAGTAGAGCAGTAGGTAAGACGTTGGCTTCGTACGCCGTAAGTTGTGTGTTCAGATCTCGTCTCGTGCATTTTTTTTTAATTCGTTCTTACCTATAATTATTTATATTATTGTAGATGTATACGAAAAAGATTCTTTATTTAATTATATTAGTATACTTTTGTTGTAAATGAAATTTTAAAATAATTATTGTAATAATTTGAAAAATCTGTATAAAGAAATATTATTATCTTTATAAATTTAATTTTAATTTAATTTTATTAATTTTTATTACTTTTTTATTGTAATGAAATTTTATAAATTTACAAATTAGTAGATAATTTTAAATTATAATGTATAGAATAATTATTATTACTATTGCTGTCGTCATCGTCGTTGTTGTTATTTATATGGACACATACACAAAAATATAATGAAAACGTAAGTGATCACGAGCGACATGACGAAAAATTTTCAAATAATTTTCTCAAATAATAGAGAATTGTTAAAGAGCGACATGTCGGCACAACCTTTGTTTATTATTGCGTGATTGATAAGGAAAAAAAGAAAAATAAGACCGTGTGATGTTCACATGTAAAGATATAATGCGCATTCGCATAAGAAACATTATAATATCATAAACAACCTACTGATGATCGACTTTATTAGGTTCGCAAGTCTTATACGACTTTGTAAGATATTGTGTCACGAAATTAATACTTGTTTTGCCAGCTGTAGTGTTCGGAAGATAATATACGAAATCGAAAAAATATTTTAATAAAATCTACTATCGCATCATGGAGAATGATAATAAAAATATTCATGGTAAAATCGCAAGTACAAGTGGATTGCAAAATGTGATTATTGATGCTGGAGGAGATGAAATAACATCTTCGTCGATCTCAAAACAAGATATAACTGATGGATTAAAAATTTATGGTCAAATTTTGTAAAAACTTCAAAACTGGCTGAAAAAGTAGAAAGCTCCAAGTTTTCTGAAAGAGCAAAGATTATTGAAAAACAAGTTGCGGAATATGTGGAAAAAATGATTCAAGATTTTCATATCGAAGAAGAGGAAGAATTACTTTTGATGGGAGAATGTATTCCACAAGAAGGTATTAACACAACTAATCCTAATATTTCATTATCAATTTATTTTATTACCCAAAATAATAATTGTTTATTTTATATTAACTTATTTGAAATGTACTTATTTGTATTACAAATGTAATTTGTATTACAAATTATATGTACTTATTTGTCATTTGTATTACAAATTATTAATTAATTTCGACCTAAGGAATAGATTACAATGATTCTTTACAAAAATTAAAATTAAAAATTAATTTCATTTTTTAATAATTGTTGAAATATATTTTATACTAATTATGAATAATTCTACTAATGTTTATATTATTGCGAGCAATTATTTGAACATACGGATTACGTACAAACGTTGACAATTATTTTACCAATTATGTAATTTTAATCAATTACAGTAATTATTGATATTTATAAAATAATTAAATTATTTTCTGTTCCTTTTTATTCAAAAAAGCAGGAAGCATCAAGTTTTTCAACAAGCTCTCCGCAAAAATCATTAGATGAGACTGTCACCATATCTATTAGTGGGGAATCCGACGATTGATATGAACCACAAGACAAGTTGAAAAAAAATTACGTATCGCTTGATGTAAAAATTAAAATATTATATTTGGCCAGAGAACATCCAAAATGGACCTTAAAATCAATTCACCAACATGGAAGAGAATGTCTCAAATGCATAACAGACTTAAAAACGTGGAAAGCTGAATTTGAAAAAGGTGGAAGCACAATGGAAAAATTCGAGGTGATAAATAAATGGACTTTTGACCGTTCCTGCGAAGCAAGAGAGAAAAAACAGTTTGTAACAACGAGGATATTACAGCAATGGACTTCAGCTGCAGCTATGTAACATTGCTCTCAGCGATTTTAATTTTACTGCATCACAATCGTGAGTGGATAAATTTAAAAAAGAACACGGCATTCGACAGCGTAAAGTCACACGTTATATTAAATCTAAAAATGCAATGGATATTCCAACAATATTAAAAGAAGTTGACAAATTCCAGAAAAGGGTAGCAAAAATAATAACCAAATTTGATCATCGTTTTGTAATCAATACTGACCAAACCAAATGCAAATACAGATGCAATGTTGAAAGAACCTTGTCTGTAAAAAGAGAAAAATCAATGGAAATTTTTCTTGGAGACTTTAATAAAATTACTCATATCTATACTGTCCAATACGCAATAACAGCCGCAGGAGAACTTCTTCCAACAATTTTTCTCTGTATGCAGGAAGTGCAAGGTAATTTTGGACCTCGTGTTCACACTGCAGTTCAAAAATTAATGAGAGAATATGGGAATGTTTTCGTGACTGCCTCCAAGTCGGGTAAATTGACGAAGAATCTATTCAACACCTTCATGCACAAAGTTATGAAACTTTATTGTAGAAACAATGATTTTTTGTTAATTTTGGATTCATGGGGCGAACAGACAGATACTGCTTATATCAATAGTGTTTTTACTGATGACGGTAACTGCTCGTCTACGGTAGAAATGATTTCTCCTTACTGTACTCCGTATTGCCAACCTTGTGATGTCTATTTTTTTCGCCAAGTGAAAAATATTATAAAAATGTTTCACAATTGCCAAGAAATTTTATAAGGACGCAAAGAACTGTCGACACGAGAAAATGCCATCAAAATTCACTCGATAATTCACCATCAATAACCTAATCATTAATTGTCATCTCCAGTTTTCGCACCGATGATAAAATGTGTTTGGTTTTCATCACAATTAATTAATGAAAGAAACTATTTTCATAATGTTAATCAAATCTGCTTTCCTCCAAATATTACAATAAGTAATTGTGTTTGCAGGAAAATTTCATTTATAAAGTGTTCACATTGTAATAAACGTATATGTTTTTCTTGTTTTTATGACTTGTATCATCCCGCACAATGTATGTCTACAAACACAATTAATACTTTCTTTTATTAATAATAATATTGATTAATATAAATCAAAATTAAATACTACAAACGTATGACTTATTTATTCCTAATCACCGATTTCATCAGAAATTATAAGTTTTCATTACATTTTTGTTTATGCGTCCATATGAATAACAACGACGACGACAACAACGATGGTAGTAATAATTATTCTATGCATGAATATTTAAAATTATCTACTAATTTGTAAATTTATAAAATTTTATTACAATCAAAAAGTAATAAAAACTAATAACATTAAATTAAAATTAATTTTATAAAAATAATATTTCTTTATACAAATTTTTCAAATTATTACAATAATCATTTTAAAATTTTAAAATTTCATTTACAATAAAAATATACCATTATAATTAAATAAAGAATCTTTTCCGTGTACATCTATAATTATATAAATAATTACAGAAAAGAACGAATTAAAAATAAATGGCACGGACGAGATTTGAACACGCAACTTACGGCGTACGAAGGTAACGTCTTACCTACTGCGTTATCGCTACTGCTGTTTAACAGTGACGTCCGAATGTATCAAGTGAGCCGCGGCCGACTAGAGTCATTCTTTAAAAATCGATTTTTTTGAAATTATGGCCCATTAGCTGAAACGGCCGGATACATGTCGATTTTTTTCGCCCAAGAACAACCTGTAAAAAGCGTATTAAAATCCCTGGAGCAGTTATCTCGTGTTCCTCTTGTTAATTACATTTTATCGGTAACGATTAACTTTAAATTCAATTATCTTGAAATTAATCATGCCATAAAGGTGTCGCGAGACGTCGAAAGGCTGCTCAGTGCAGGAGAGTTAATTTTTTATAATCTTCGAGGAAAAATGTCCAATCAAAAGGACCCGGCGCTAATCATATGAAAAAAGTGATTTCAGTCAAATTGATTGAAACTATGATATTTTATAGCTTATGAGATGCTGAAAAACCTTCAATAAAAAGTGTGAAAAATGTACAGTTATTTTCTAGCGCCATTAGAAAGTTTTTTAGGTCTAACCGAATCTTTATCTACAGTACACAGATTGCTTTTTTAACTATATAGACATTTATATATAACCATACGTGTGTCCATTATTGAATAGATTCATGTCTCAGTGCATGTGTGTGGTGCGGGAGGGAGGGGGTGTAATATGGCTATATTGATATGTGTGTACCTAGATAGCATAGAGATGAACAGAAGTTCCTAGAGAATTCATTTTAAAGAATAGATATAGAATTAGAAAAATAAATACTCGAAGAATTCTTGAAGAACTAACTACAGTAAGTTCGTCTTGAAATATTCCTTAGGACTTCATTACAGCGAATACTTCGCAACTTAATTCCTAGAACACTTTGAGAATTTATGAGGAATTAGGGCTAAGGCAGAGAACGAGACGTCGTAATCGTAGATATAAAATAAGGCAGAGAAAAACGTAAGCGTAAGGCTAATAGCCTTTCATGATTTATGTTTACGTTTTTCTCTGCTTTATTTTACGTCTACGACTATGATGCTTATGTCTCGTTCATCTGCCTCAGCCCTTACAAATGTTTTGTTTATAGCAATTTCTTTTTGCGCCTATATTCAGTACATGTCAGTAAGTGTATAATAATTAATTTACATATTTACATATAAATTGTTTAATTTATTGTTATTCGCAGTTATTTATATTTTGTGGAATTAATTATATAGTTTTATATAATAGGGCAAAGAGAGGGAATTGGTGTTAATATAACTTTTGATATATAAAATTTTCACCTGTATCAATAATAAATATATTTATGCGAAGTATATTTTATCCTTAAGTTTGTATTCATCTTTCTAAAATCCATATATAGTTCTAACAAACTCAATCGCATTATTTGAAAGCCGCTTATTTTTGGATTTTAAATTACATATTTGAAAGTGCGCTTTACTTACATTTGAAGCTCAGTTAGAACAGTATATGTAACCTAACCTAACCCACCCAAGCTACACACACACGTATGCACGCCTACACACACACAATTTTGTCGATGTAATAATGTCAGACCTACTAATAGAATAACTATTAATACAAATACACATATTTTAATACACACCCATATTACAT